AAAAAAATCAAATAAAACAAGGAATAAAAACAACCACAAACACAACACACTGAGCCTTGCCTCCTAACAGCATTCCAAAATACTTTGATCCCACCACAGAAGTTAAAAAAGGGGGGGGGGGGGGAAATATATATATATATAAGGGGGGGGGGGAAATATATATATATATATTTATTATCAAGATATCTCCCTTAATATCTAGCTTTTCTGTACCTTTTTGTGTACTTTTTTTTCTCTGACAGAAATAGAAAAAAGTGTGAATAAAGCGCATGCCGTTTACCATAATTAGTACACAGTTGAGAAAGGTACAGATCATAATAATAACTAAAATCAATGAAGCCATCAATGTTACTCGCAACCTGCATTATAATCCTACGCATTAACAAGTATCTACAATATTGCAATTAAAATTAAAGTACGCATAGACTTATATTGTTAATATCATCATCACCGGCGTAATTATTATCTGGTATATCACCCTGCTACCATCAATATAATCACCTGATCATCAATGTATTCACAAAAACGCGTTATCACTGTCATTTACTACTAGGGGGGGCGGTCAGTACTGCCGCTATCATTATAATCAAGATTTCCATTCATTTTGATTTGTCAAAATTATCGCACATTTGTCATCGCTATTCCTGGTGTAGTATTGTTAATGTTGCTGCTTTATTATTAAAATCAACGCAGTCGATGTTGATGATCGCCATTATTAAAAATTCTAATTGTTTCAAAATCATTGCCGCAATCTTATCATAATCACATGCACTGTTAAACTAATAGTGCTAATACAGATAATGCAAAGTTTTAATGAAGTAACAGAAATGTGTGCATGTGTGTGGGTATGAGAGAGAGAGAGAGAGAGAGAGAGAGAGAGAGAGAGAGAGAGAGAGAGAGAGAGAGAGAGAGAGAGAGAGAGAGAGAGAGAGAGAGTGAGAGAGAGAGTGTGTGTGTGTGTGTGTGTGTGTGTGTGTGTGTGTGTGTGTGTGTGTGTGTGTGTGTGTGTGTGTGTGTGAGCGTTACATATAGGCCTATATATACTACACATATAAAGTCACATACATTTACACGCAAACATATAAACATTTACTAAGCTCATTCAACAGCTTCTAGATAAGTATCTAGTACTTGATTTAGTGAGAAAAAAGAGGATATCGGCCACAGAAAATATATCAACGCTGCGTCGGATATACCGTGCCTTCGCCCCCGCCCGCGCTGCTCAAAACGACCGGAAAGCTGCAACCTCCTTCAAAAAGTCGCTAACAATTTGCAAAAAAAGCGGGACAGGAAAACGAGTCGCGTCGCCCAGGGTACCTCGAAACAGGTGCATTCCGCATTTCCAAAGGGCGGAGTCACACTTCAAATGATTCTCGGGTAACATTGCAGACAGACATTTCGAGAACTACCTCTCGCTCCGCTGCTGGTCATCTCACTTGTTCCGCGTCACTCGGGAACATTTTTATAATCTAGACTTCCACGAGCGCAAAACTAAGCTATGTAAATTACTTGTCACACCAATAACACAGGTTTCATCATGTCATTCCCTTGACCACAAATAAAAAGATAAACACACTGGAGTCAAAGAGTCACACAACTGAACCATCCTACCGTGAAGGCTATGGGGGAGGGGATGTTAGACCGCGTATGACGAGCCTAAACACTTTTAACAAGAGAGAGATGTCAAGGATTAGTTTAGGAACACAGTGCCAGCGGCTTACTTACGACAACACGTGAAACCGAATAAAAAAAGGGTTACAAAATGTTACAAAATCCCCCAACTATGATTTTTTTTTTCTTTATAGATGGTCGCGTATTAGGAACGCAACAAAGGTGAATGTTTACAAACATACTATTAAGTACGGTACCCGGTATTTCACATGACAATAGGAAATTTACATAGCTTACAAACGATACGATTTAAGCCTAACTAGGGGATATGTTCCTAACCTTACACCTGTCATATCTCACGCTCTCTAGTTTCCAGTACCCATTTTAATATCAATTCTCATAAACACAGAATATTATTTACACAGCGTTAAAGTTAACACACTGTTAGTACTCTAACAACAATCAATATTATTTCCCCCCAGTTCTACCTTAATTATAACATAGTAAGACTTCAGTATTGTATCGATAACCGCTATAATTATAGGCCTATGAATTCAAAATAAATTGGGGGTAATCTGACAGCGATTACGATAACAATAAGAATTATGATGCTTATAATACTACAGATTAAACAATAATATGGCACCAACAACAGCCACAATCCCATTACCATTATTACCACAATAATAATTTCCTACTTTGTAGATAATAATAATAAAAGTAATAATAATCATTATTACTATCAACATCATTTCTGTTGTCATTGTTGTTATTAATATTACCATCATTAATTCAATTATTATTATTATCATCGTTAATTCTATTATTATCATTACCGTCGTTAATTCTATAATTATTATTGCTATCGGTAATATTGTTACTATCATATCAATACATTTTATAAATTATGTTAATAATTTTCAAATATTCATATCTGTTACTTTTACAAAAATGACAAAATTAAAATAGGAGAAATACTCTTCATCATATTTTTTTTCATTACAGTCTAATATTAAACATTCACAAAATGTATCGTTAATACTAGCATTTTGTTATGATCTTGTTCTCTCTTGGATGAACACAAATTATAAACACTATCAGTATTAGTCTACGAACATTATTATACAGTATATTTGACTGATCATTAAATAATGAAAATTCAAATTACTTGTAGATTAATCACCAATATTGTCATTATTTCACTTTTGATTATTGCTTACATTTATAATCGTCAATGTTATAAATATAATTATTATAATCAACTGTACCATGCTTGCTAACATCACGCTTATATATATATATTTTTTTTCTTACCAATCATGATTATTTGTCAACATTATCATAAACATTGTTGTATATAATCATTATTTTTCTTACATTAATTAGTCGAACATCGTCGTCGTAATAATAATCATTATCATTAATTTTACTAGCATTATTGTTATTAATATTTTTATTGTTATTATTATTATTATTATTATTATTATTATTATTATTATTATTATTATCATTGTTATTATTATTACATAATTATTGTTATTATTACTATTATTTTTATTATTATTAATTATTATTATTATTATTATTATTATTATTATTATTATTATTATTATTATTATTATTATTATTATTACTACTACTACTACTACTACTACTACTACTACTACTATTATTATTATTATTATAATAATTATCATAATTCTTATTATCTATAATATTATCATCACTATTACAATAATCGATATTATTATAACTTCACAATCAATTGTACTTGTTAACCATAATATTTCTAGTATTACATCTAATAATATTATGAACACATTGCTAACATTTTTCACCAACAATGCGGTCGAGGAACACAATTTATCGCTATTTTCGGCCATTGATAAACCATCTGATAATAACGGTATCTCTCTCTCTCCGGGATTCGGATATCAACTGAACCATTCAACAACATATCCGCGCATTTTACAGACCATCAAATCCTCTCTTTGTAGCAAGAGCCATATGCAACCCGCCGATACAAAAGGAAGAATTTCGGAGAGACAAAAAGAATTCGCGCCTGGCCGAACCTCTTTCCCCACACTGCCATAGTTCGTAGCCGCTCAGACAAACGGCAAGTTCTCTTTCCCTCCCGCGCCGTCTTTTCCTCTCCTCCCGTTGCTTCGGTTAGGTTAGGGCGGTCGGCAACTCTCCTGCCACAAGCGGTCACATGCGGTCGCCCTACGGGGTATTCCTGTCCTTTCGCGACATACGCACCGCCAGGGTTAGAATGAGGGAAGCGAGAGAGAGAGAGAGAGAGAAAGGGGGAAAACGAGGGGGTGGAGGAGAAAGGGGAAGGAGGAAATCAATGCCCTGCAACAATAACAATCGACCTCAAAAATCCCGTCGATAATTTTCACGCCGGGACACACGCGAAGCCAGGAAAAGCGGCTACGGTAATAGCTCGCGCGCACACACGCTCCACGGCGCCAAACCCCGATCTCCCTTCCTGACTTTGCTCTCTGACCACCGAGCTCCGCGCTGTGTACATGAATGTACTTAATTTGCATATGTAAATCCCTCCACTACCGGGAGTAATGACTTGGTGATCGATATAAATATATAATAAGTGTGTCTATTCCTTCATATGCTAATGAAGAGAAATTCTCGTCTTAGTATAATAATGGATACGATTATAAATATATCCGCCCCGCGTTGATGACAGTTCATGAAATTATCTGGTCAGTATTAATGCGATAATTACAGGAAAGAGCTCGCCCCTTATTAACAATAAAAAAGAGGAAATTCACGCTATCGCCTGCTAAGCACATTGTCTATTTAACGGAGGCATTTTTCAGTAACGTTTTTCCAAGCTAGTCCGACCCCGGGAATTTCAAACGGAGTTATCACTACAAGACACATTTCTACAGTGGAAGTGATACAATGTAGTTCAAAGTTAGGTAGGTGTACTTGCGGTCAGTCTGCCTTACGGACACCTGCACCTCCGCTTCCCTGCCAACACCACCATTTCTCGTCCACCGCACTTGCACTCGTCCACCTGCTCGCTGCGCCTCTGCCCCGCCGTTCACATCTTCGGCGGTCCTCCTCGAGCGCCTCCTTCCTTCGACTTGGCTCCTCCGATCCTTGCGGGGGGTCACTGCGGCGCTGTCTCGTGGGAGTTGTGGTTTGGCCTCTGGGGACTTCGGTTTTGCACCGCGATTTTACTTAGTTCTCCTCCGGTCTTTTCCTGGCGAGCGTCACGACTTGGGACACCATAGAAAAACACACCTGCACAATGATCACACTTGTACTTCACTGATTCTGGTACAGTAGCCAGACCGTAACACCACAGCACCTGTCACCCTGCCGCTGCGGCTGACGCAAACGGGGAATTACACCACACTTAC